GCTCATAACCCCATGCTGTAGGTCAAATGGTACCATAATCAACATAAATGGCTTGCTTCAAACTAACACCACTATTTGGCAGTAACTTAAACAACATGCATTCTTTATTGTATGCTAGAGTTAGCACTATCTTCATAGGAAAGATAACCTGTGGTGCTAGGATTCTTAATCAGAATTAAATTCCATGTGAATGAAATAAGGAAAGAAATAGATTGGAGTTCCACAAAATAGAACTTACAGAATTTGGTGGTTTTTAATCATGATGGATTTTCTGAACATTAGACCAGTTAAATATTAAATAGCTAGAAAGAGATGAGACATCTTTAGAGATTATGCTAGACTGCTGTGGACTGAGATTTCAAACTTTGTATGTATCTCCAGTAATTAGCCTAGATTTTACATAAAACGTTCATTGAACGACTTACTTTTTAAACTTAAAAAGACAACCGCAAAGTTCTATAAATTTAGGAGCAATACTACTTTATTACTCAAAGCATTAACTCCTTTTATGGAAAGATGCTTTCAGAGCTGTATATAATTTTACAGTCAAATGGAAATAAAAGTGAACATTTGAAGAGATCTGTACAATTTCTACTTAAAACACCATTTTGTAGTTCATCATACCCTAAATTAGACTGTGTGATATTTCTTCCACATTTACTATTAGGAAAATGTTTGATTCTCCTAGTGAATTGAAACCTATTAAAATTCTATAGCGTATTGTTCTTCCTTTTCCCTAGCTTCTCAGGAAGACAAGGAGCTAAATTCAATGCCTAATACATTTTCTATATTAGGTTGAGTGTCTTTGTAGTTATCTCTTTTTAATGTTTGTCATTTTATGGTTTGCAGCCTAATCTTATTTTAGAAATGTGTGCTATATTACTAAATGTTAGTGCTTTATCTATTCTTAATCCTTATCTCTAATTGTTCTTTGAGCTCTCAGAAACACTATAGCCCTTGAAACTCTCCTTCCTTGTTGTTCATGATATTCTATCAGTCCACAAATATTTGTTGAGTTTGTGCTAGGTGCCAGATACTGTTGTGATTCTTCTTCTGAGTTGATTACTCCTTCTCATCCTCTTCACGCTCTCCCACTTCCATTCTATAGTCATAGGTCCACTCTTATCATTGTTTCTAGATTCTTTCACTCTTATAATCTGTCCCATGATTTAGAAGCACAATCCCTTACTTGAAACTCTTGGAACCAGATATACTTCAGAAGAATTTTTGGATTTTAGCAGTCATATGATGTACTTACCATTTATTTATCTTCACAAAAGGACAAACTACTTTAATCTGGATCATAGCAAATTTATTGCCTCCACACTAGTGGCCTCTTTCTAGAATATTATTCTGTATAATTCTAAGCATCATTAGAGTTCTTTGGAATCCATCATAATATATCCTGAACTCTGTGCCTCCTGTCATTGCCACATCTATTACAGTTCGAAACCTGTTTAAGTCCCTTCTTGGCTTTTGTGGCTTCTCAAACTCGGCTGGATTGACTAATTTATTCATGTACTATGTTAGAAATTGGGAAATACAATAAGACAGACTTCTTTAGGTTTCTTATCTGAAAGGACTTCTTGGTGGGAAAGACCAAGTGATTCAATAAATCAGGGAATGGGCTATTTTATAATCATTAAGGATGAGCCAGCTCTATATGTTAATTTCCAAGACAAATCAAGGAGAAATATATGTTGCAGAACTATATATTGAAGTCCTATAGGTAGTTTGTCTATATAGTTATGGAAAGAACACATCAAACCATAGTATCTTGAAACACTTTTTTGAATTTTTTTAGTGTTTAAACCAAAATCCAAGAATATGTTTTAATCTGAAAAAAAAAGGTTATCAACAAGTAACATGTAATGAGATACATAAAGGGATCATAACAACAAAGCAACTAACTTTGCCTAAATTAGGACAATTTTAGTGAGATTATCCTTTGGGCACAGAAATAGACATTCCTATCAGTACAAACAGTAAGATGAAGGGCAGCCAGTTCTTAAAGGGTAAAACGTATTCTGGAAATGGCAGATTCAGTGCTGGTGGGTAGCTTCAAGAGGAAAATAGGATTTGGGATTGATGTGAGATATCAGATTAAGAACCTCAACTACTAGTTGGAATGTGGAACCAACCTAGTCAGTGGGAAGCCTCTGAAGGTTGTTATTTTTAAAATACATTAAAAATCTTGGAGATTTTACAGAAAGATAAAATCTGTAATTTTACAGAAAAGTTACAAAGATATTACAGCGTTCTCTTGTAATTCCTGTTTGTCTCCGTTACTTCCAGTGTACATTTGTCAAAACTAAGAAAACAGCATTGGTAAATTGTGATCAACTAAAGTCTAGTCTTTATTCAGCTTTTACCAGTTTTTCCATTAATGTCCCTTTTCTGTTCCAGGAACCAATCCAAGATCCCATATCATATTTGGTTGTTATGGTCTCCCTAATCTCTGCTCTTTGGATTTCTGTCTTTCCTTGCCTTTCATGAACTTGACAGTTATGAGTGAGGTACAATGGCCCTCAATTTGGGTTTGTATGATGTTTTCTCATGATTAGATTGGAAATAAAGTTTTGGAAAAAACAAAACAAAACAGAGAGGTTAGGTGCCCTTCATTTCACATTGTATTAAATGGCATACAATATCCATGACACCCCTGCTGGTGTTGACCTTGATCAGCTCACAAAGGTGTTTGCTTGTAAGCTTCCCAGGAAGTTTTCTTCTTTTCATATTCCTTTGGCTTTTAGGCTTTGCAGTATGATATTTCAAGTGATCTTTAATGTAATCCTCTTGGCTAAGTGATGGGAAGAGAGTAGAAACAGAAGGCCAGCTACATAGCTATGGTTCTTCATTGTCATTCAAGTGACAAATGACAATCACCAGAACTCTGTGGCAATGGTAGGTAGTGAAAAGGACTAGAGGTATTCAAGTGTTTCTCGGCAACTGGAGACTTACTTAAGCTTTAAAAGAAAAAGGGAGAACCAAAACCACAGTAAGATACCACCATTAGGATGGTTAAAATCAAAAAGCCAGATAATAACAAATGGTGAGGATGGAGAAATTAGAATCCACGCACACTGCTGGTGGGAATGTAAAATGGTAGTTACTTTAGAAAACAGACTGCCAATGATTCAAAATGTTCGGCATATTTGCCATTTGATGCAACAATTCTCTCTCAGGTACCTACCCAACAGAAAATGTATGCACACCAAAACCTATATACAGATGCCACTGTAGCATCCGTTATTCATTATAACCAAACAGCAGAAACCACTCAAATGTCAACCAACCAAGGAAAAGATGAATAAAATGTAGTAAATGTGCACCATGGAATATTATTCTTTCATAAAAGGGATGAAGCACTGATAGAAGTTATAACAAGCTGAAACACTATGCTAAGTGAAAGAAGCTAGTTACAAAAGATTACACAATGATTCTTTTTATACTAATGTCTAGGATGTAAACAAATCTAGAAAGAGAGAGTGCAACAGTTCCCCTTGAATAAGGGGATTTCAGGACCATCAATCCTGAAACTGTGGATTCATGTACACTGTGCTACCACAACAATGGACCTGATAAACGGGAACAGCAAAGTGACTAATGGGCAGGTAATAGCCATGTACAGAGGACAAAGGAATGATTCATGTCTTGGGTAGGATGGCAGAGGATGGCATGAGATTTCTTCCCACTACTCAGAAAAGGGCACAATTTAAAGCTTATGAATTGTTTACTTCTGGAATTTCCATTTAACATTTTCAGGTTGACTAGAACCAAGGAAAATGAAGAAAGGCATAAAGGGAGACTACTGTAGGTTAGTGGTTGCTTGGGGTTGGGGGAGTGGGTCATAATAATGGAAGGATTAGGGTAGGATTGGGGTTTATTTTGGGGGCAAAGAAAATATTCTAAAATTGATTATGGTGATGCCTGCACAACTAATTGTATGCTTGAAATAGTTGCAATGTATATATGAATTATATCTAATTGAAATTATTACAACAAAAATGTAGAACATGTGGCAGGGGAGCTACATTTGTTCAAGTAATACTCATTCAAAAAGCTGTGCTGGTAGGACATCTAGTATAGACGCTGAGCAGCTCAGAAATGACATTGTTGATAACAGACAACATCATAGTCATTAGCATGAAGAATTCATTCATTCTACAGAAAGCAAGATCCTAAATTCATCATCCTATTTACTAAACACAGTAGCACAAGAGGTTTTGAGCAACACTGAATTTTCAGGGATTAACATAGAACTAAGTACTGACCCCTTCTCTAGCACTTAAGATAACACTGTTACTGAGACTGGCTGATGATTCTCTTCATTCTCAACTAAAATTGGTCTTCATTTAACAAAATGTTTTTAACATAAGTTGTTATGGCAATGTCTTCAAGTAATGTACATACAGATTTGGAGATCATAAAAGTTTAACTTTAGATTACATTAATTTAAGATAATTATTTTTGATACAATTTATAGTGTGTATGGATTTGGAATTATTTTACTGCTTCTCTGAAGAGAACTGGTCAAGGTATAAAACCTAACTGGCCACACCAGTAATCATAGTTATTCTGGAACATCCTGTTCTATCCCCATCACATCCCTTCCTGTCCACCCCCAACATTATTTGGTGGAAGACAGTAATTCCATATTAAGGACAATGCCAGATAAAAGGAAGGGAAAAAAAGTTAAATGATTCCACTAATGCTTTCAGTGATCACATTACACTTGTTTGGCATTAGGATATGCTGTTTTAAAATCCAGAAAAAAAGAGATACCTCACAAATTACAGAAGATGTAAATTTTTCTTATTCTTTTCATTTATCAAAGAATAATGGACATGGTAGAATTTGTGAATAAATCCTTAACATAACTGGCCAGGGTTTCACTTGGTAGATCTAAGACCCAATTTACCAGTTATGAAATTCTAAGTTTGTGTTGAATACATACATAACTAAAAGAATAAATGAAATGACCAATAGTATGTGCCATTTTAATTTTTATTAATAAAATAGAAACTTAAACTGAAGACAACTGCTTTGTTTTTGCATCTTATCTGAGCATAAACTGGAGTGGTAATTTTTTTTATAAAAGGACTTAGGTGAGAACTGTCAGTAGAGTAGTTCCATCAAAACCTGCCAATCAGAATATCTAACGTTTGGTAAATGAAACATTAAAAAGAACAAATTAAATATCAGAAATCACAGAAGTCTTCTCTAAGTCTTCAATGTAGTTTACTTACAATCATAAAAAAAATTCATTAAGATCAATCATGTTGCATAATCCCTAAAGGAAAAAACTGAGGGAACTCATGGATAATTTTCACAGCTTCGTTGTAAAGTCCAAGATCTGAAAGAAACATGTAAGCAAACGTGGAAAGTTGTAGCATTAATCTCAAGGATTTCTATCTATTTCTCTTTTTTCTCTCTTAAGAGAGTTCAATTTATTTTTACAAATTGGTTTCTAAAACTGAGATATAGATCATCATACTTATTTAACTGAGGTTCCCCAAAATGAAGCGACATGGGAGATACAAGACCATCCATATTGTTGTCTATTATACAGGCAGCAGTTTCTGTCCGGTCATGTTTTAGGTGTTACTGCATTGCTCCATGCCTTCAATTCATATATTAAAATAATTTTGTTTATCATATTTTAAACATTTCTCTTTGCACAAATATTAGTCTCTACTGAGCTTCCTTCACATACAAGATCTACTTAGAAACAGGCCAAAATGTCCTCCTCCCATTTTCCTTTGATGAGAAAACTATAGAAATTGAAAATATGGCAGGACTGAGATTTAAGATCAATACATATCAAATTAAGAATAAAACTGTTTTCTTCCTAATAACATAAAACCATTAAAAATATTTACCAAAAGGACTGCTATCTTCTTTAAACTGGACATAAGATGTACACATGATGGTTGCCTTGGCTGTTACTCTTCCAACTACTTCCACTATACCAGAGATTTCTTCATCGAGCTAGGACATTGAACAAAATGTCAGTTTGGAGTTATCACAGTTTCAGTTGATTAATTTGGAAAATTGGTATACAGTATACTCATCTTTCAAACTGTTTTAGTTTACCAATATTCCATAGTAATAAAGTAACTTTAAAATTTGCCAATGTAAAACTTTAACCTTAGCTTGTTAAAAATACTTCAGTCCTTAACTGATTGCCTGCTACAAGTCCTGTTACTTTCCTTGGTGACTTCTATTTCCAAAAATTCAGCTAAACACTTAAGCTGAAGACAAATAAACTTTAATGAAATTGAGAATCTCCATAATTTCTATAAGAATTAATTTGTTCGAAAGCAGAGGAACTTTCTACATTTAAATTTCATGAAATGTATTCTGTATAGATTAACCAAACAGCACATGGGTTTGTCTTCATTAAAGACTAAGAAATGCTTTTTTCATATAAACATGAAATGCAGAAATAAATGACACTTGAAAATATATGTAAGTAAAAAGAGAAAATAAAACCAGGAATGGTGGCATACACCTAGAGTCCCAGCTGTCACTTGAGCCCCAGTATTACAAGACAGCCTGGGCAACATAGCAAGACTATGTCTTAAAAGAGAGGAAAAAAAAGGAAAGAAAGGACAAAAAAAGAAAGATTTTTCTTACACAATTTTATGGTCTTTCTTATAAAGAATAAGAACTGTTATCCAACCAACACTTAATCATTGATTAGGAATGTAATGGGAAATATAATAAAAGGGAAGATATGAATTTAGAGGAAAGTTTTCCAAGCACATCCTTTAGATGTCCTTTCCAAAAATCAGAATCAGCAACAAACTAAACCAAGATGAAGAGAGTTAATACTTAAACATACTGGCTCCATCAACTCAATGGTTCCATTTTTTCCTTCTCCATCTGACAGAATAAACATTTTTCCAGTGGGATGAATCTAAAAAAGAAACATACAATTAAAAAATAATCCCACATAAATAAATCCTTTAAAATCTCATTAAAAATTTTGAAAAATGACCAAAGGAGAGCACATTGACCCTAACTTGAGTATAAAACAATTGTTTTTCAAACAGTTTATTTGGCTTAAATTACCCTATGCTAAAAACAAATTAAGGAGGCTTGTACTATCTAAAAGTGCGAATCTCTCGTACTCATGATTTAGATAGAACAGATCTCACAGAGAGTATGTTTTAAAAATCAGCTATGACGAAGTCAAAGGAGACTTCATCCAGACCTGCCTGTCAGGTCTGGATTCTGCTCCTGGGAGGCAGCTGCAGGTGCAGTCAAATCTGGCTTGAATGCCAGCTTTCCCATCTGCTGTTGCCCTGCAAATTTCAGTTAATCACCCAGCACTCTGGCTCAGTTTCCCTGTGAAGTCAGTTGGAATAACACACTTCATTTAGGGGGTGTGTGGATAAAATGAACTACTAAATAAACCTTTAGAAAGGTTTTTCTTTCTCTAGGTTTTTTCAGTCACTGATTCTGAGACTTTGGGCCTGTTTCTCACCTTTAGGATAAGGGGACTGCACTCAAAAGAGGAGTAAGATATTGGGCTGTTACGGGATCTGGAAGGGACATGAAGAAATGTTTCATGGAGAAGAAACTACAAGAAAACAAGGTTAGAGAGCAGAGACAACTGCAGAAGAGAGGGCATATTAGCCTAGCTGGCATCTGTTAAGTCTGGCGAAACCAAAAACTCTGAAGGTAGTATACCTGAAAGTCAGGTGTATAATTTCCGTTAGGTAATCACAGGCATAACGGAGGCAACAGGCAATGGAATTTAGAACCTAGAAACCTTTCTCTTCTGCGCAGTAAAAGAAGCTCCAAAACGGTAGTGTAATTGCTAAACTGTGGGAAAATTCTCCTCGTGCAAGATAAAGCAATCGGGAAGGCAATGATGGTCTGAGGCTTTCTGCCCTCCATCCTCTGTTATTCACTCTGAATCCACCACCCTGGTGGTCACAGGGTCCCTCCCTCTGGCTACACATAGGAGAGCCCAAGACCACTAGTCCACGCACCTTTTCCAGCCTTCCGACGAAGCAGACTGGCCGGTCTATGAACTGAGCTAGCATGGTGGCATTGACGCGAGACTTTGGCAATTCCATTAGATCCACCATGATTTATGCCGCCAAAACCTGCGATCTGAAGAAAACAAGCGGATGACTGAAATTGAGCGTCTGTGGAGCCAATTTCCTCCACACCAATCATCGAACATTAGTGTGAGAGCTCCGCCAATCAAATACGCGGAAATCTCTAATGACGTCACTCTATCCGGGACCGAACTGGTGAACGAGCGGAACGCGTCCGGAAGTGGGAGTCGGCTGCTTAGTGACGCGCCGCGTTCCGGAAGCCGCCTGGATCCTAGGCGGAGTGACAAAGGAGGCGGGATTTGGAAAGGCGGAGTCTGACGTTACTTTACCCGGATGTGGGGCTTCCCTGCGGCTACTTGACCCCGGAACTGGGGTGACCAGCTCTGGTGCTGGTGAGGGTAGCGGACTACGGCGC